AAAGGCATAGAATATAGGGTTTGGGGTTACTTAGCCAACATCCTCGACCTCCCGAGCTTAAGAATTTGGTTACACAGTCCCCAGAGTTGTTTTCTTGCTTGATTGGATTATGGCCACACACCTCAAGCTCAGCTTCCACCACCAATCAATGAGGAAATGAGGTGTCAACACACCAGTGTTTATTCAACACTCATTTATTTTTCCACTCTAGCACAACCACAGAAGACACCAGCTAGCTCAACCACAGAAGACAACAGATGATTGAAGGGATTTTCTTTGAGCATTTAGAATTATTGCTCTTTTTCTAATAGCATTACAAACAAGGGTTTGTGGTGTACAAGTACTAATTATGTTTACAAATAGTAGCACAGTTACCTTACTTTACATGTTGCATTACATTTAAATCCTTCTCGCATTAAGGGACAGGTTTAAATGGGAATTTGCCAATTGACTGTGAAATGACTAATGCATTTATGACGATTTGTGCTAATATTACGAGTGCATAACATTACAAGCGTATATTAAAATTCTGTCTTGTCTCTGATATCTTTTACAACTGAGAAGATGGGGCTTTTAAACTTCAGACTGCGCATCCATATGACCAAGCTAAAAGAACTGCTAATGGAAAGACACCAGGAGGTCAGTAATGCTTTCAGTCAGCATGAAGTGCCATCAAAATAAAATTCTGCACAGTAGCTGCTGCATTAAAACAACTTGGGCAATTGAAAATTCCCCTCCCAATTTATGCCAAATGCCACTTTATAAACATTCTAGCATGACTGCCAAGTGTCTGCACTGCTTTATGCCCCTTCTCTTAATTGAAAACGTTATAGGGGTGCATTACACTTGGGGTTTTTATAAGCTGTGCTATAAAGCTCTTGCAGGCCCTGAGAGGGGAAACTGCCCATTAACTTATAAGGTCCAGGCCTCAGCTCTCTTAATTGACAACCTCTAGGCTACTTTCATCACTTGTCGACTTCATAGCGGCAGTCAATGCTTCCTCCAGGATGCTGTTGCATCTTTGACATGAGGGTGTTTGTGACAAAGAGCAGTCTGCCGCCAATGCCAGGGCGAGGGCTCTAGGCTGTCCATAAAACAAGCACACACATTCCTCTCCTAGTTCCAGCCATCTGAGAGTGCTGCATTTAACCATGTAGGTACTGCTCTCCAGAAACACCATCTAAAATTCAATATGAATCCTATTAAGAAGGTATACTTTTTATCTGCTTATGCTGTACGGAAGTCATATCATTTTTTTTTATCCATAAAGGTATGTCATTTTATAAATCAATTTAAAACATGGGAGATGCTAAGTATAAATATTTTATTTGTAATCTGTTCAGGCAGTTCATCACCACAAGCACAAACACACAAAGGCACACACACCAGACTGGCGTGACAGTCACTTCACATTCTAATTTGGCAGGATCATCAGCTTTGTGCCTCTGGAAATTCATGTGCCTTGAATTAGAGCCACATGTCACAATGTAGTTGACCAGTACAGACACATTACTAAAATATTAAAGCCACTTAAGGTCTTTGTAACTGACATTCAAACTGGAGTTTCTCAGTATACCTCCTATGAGATTTGCATGATAATTTACAAAGGCAGAAGAGCACTGTGCAACTTTGACTGTCAACTCTCTGTCACTGAATCTCATGATGTATCTTGCAGAAATGCACACAAGTCAAATATTGATGAAAGTGTTTGTATGTGTTGGTATACTTAAAAAGGAGTACACTGGCGAATTAGTATCAAAAAGAATTGTCAAAATTAAAGCAGCATATATCCTTACTTTTAGTCTCTACTTCAAGCTCCATAAACACTGGATCCTACATTCAACAATGTAGACTATGAGATATTAGAAATGTGTCTACCATAAAAGAGTCTGACCTGCAATTGCAGACTGTATTAGGCCATCGTGTACCATGTCTTACCGCAATACTGGAATTTTTTTCCCACACTAGCTGTGTGGATGAACAGAAATAACCTGTGTGATCACTTTTGAATCCAGTGCCACCATCAGGTCAACATTTTCAATTTTCCAATACTTTAGATCATGAAAGCTTTAGTTTATGTTTAGTCATAATTTGGTAATGTTAACATGCTAGCTAGAGCCTGACCGATAAATTGGAGTCGACCGATTTGATAAATTGGTATCAGTGTTTATAACACCTGATAAATGACAATTAAAAAAAGAGACAGAAGACGGACCCTTAAATCATGTTATGAGTGTTGTCATTGCACTAAGATAGTAAGATAGTAAACAACCTAATACCTAAACATTTGCTTGTTAGTATTGTCATTGTGAACATATTAGGGCTGAACGATTAATTGTTTTCCAATCGAAATTGCAATTTGAAAGAACAAGATTAGCTAATCATGAAGACGGGATTAAAATGTAGGTTAATTATACAGCGCATCTGACCCGTTTTAAACAGTCATGCAGTTACAAATTCATTCCGTTGTCATCCTACTGTGACAGATCTGCTCGCCAGTCACAAGCACCATGCGCCTCCTGTTACGGTCCTACTCACCAATCAGAGTGGGCACAGGGTGTGCACATTTTACAACAACAAACAAAATGAGAGGAAACTTGTGGGATAATGGCACCAGCCAAACAGACACACGCAGCAGCTGTGCCGCAGTTTTGTCTGGCGTCAGTATTGAGTATTTAGCCTGAATATTGAACTTTAGCAAAACTTCAATTAAAAAAAAATAATTCACAAATTGAATCATAATCGCAATATCTGGCTGAAAAATGGTAATTAGATTGTTCAGCCCTAGAACATCAGCTCAAAGCACCACTGTTCATCAGTACAGCCTATAGTAACTATTTAGACTCTTGTTATATGACTGTTTCGCATCAGTGTGATGAAGTTCATTGACAGGTGTTTCATTTGCTCTACAATGATGAAAACATGACTGAAACATTAACTGACTGTCACAATGGATATGAACATATACATTTTTATATATATATATATATATATATATATATAAAAATAATGTGGAACCACATGATCTACAGCCTATGATTTAAGTACTCCACTGCCCTTTGCTTCAAGTTACAGATTTAATCCATGTAATTGGCCACTGTTAAATTGGTTTAATCTTGGCTTTGGCTTAAAGTTACACATATAAGCAATACCAATAACCTTCATTATGATAATTATATTATTAATAGTGTTGTCAAATGAACTGATACAGAAACAAAACATTCACTTAGGAGCCGCAGTTACCTAAACACTTGATATGAAAGAGTGAGATCACATGTTTCCAGTTTAGATGGCAGGAAATTTGTGGGTTGCGCACAGTGAATTAGAAAAGCTCTACAGTGAAAGAGCAACGAAACACAAAAACAAATATGATGATACAAACCACTGTATATTTATCTGTAAGTAACATGTTAATCTAAGGATCCTATCAATATCGATTTTATAATTTGAATAAGTATAACTTAACTATGCAATAAGTTCCTGGTGGATACTAACAATTGATGAAAACACTCGTAATCAGCAGTCAGAAAAAAAGAACAGCCAAGTGCAGTGACTTCCTGGAGTATTGTCATCACAGTGAGATTGCTAGACAACCAGCACTACAGCTGAAGACACAGAGGTACTAGGCTCATGGAAAATAAATAGTTACAGAAGTCCCCCCCATTTTCTGTGTATGGTATAAACACAAAAATACGTTGTATCTAGTTTGAGCTTTAGAGGCGCTGGTGGGGTATTTCTTAGCTCTGGAGAGTAAGACTAGCTGTTTCTCCCATCTCCCAGTCTTTATGGTAAACCTAGGCTAACCACCTAACAGAGACACACACGACAGTGTGATTGTTCATCTCATCTAACTCTTGGAGAGAATGCACAACGTTCCAACTATTCCTTTAAGTTGTGGTGCGTTGACTTTGCTACCACAGGCACAGGCCTGTTTAGTACAGGCTGCCTTACACTAGCAAATCAGTAATATTTGACACTTGAAAAGACAAATGCAACATGGTCCATGGTGAAATACAATTATACTGAAAGTGAGATAGAAACACAACAGAATTCAAAATTAAACACCTACCTTAACATCACACTACACAAGAGTAGAAAAGCCTTGTAGGGTGCAGATTCGGTGGCGACTGTGTTGCTATCACCACTAAAGGGGGCGGTGATGGAGCAGTGGATAAGACACATGCCTTTGGTGTGAGAGACCTGGGTTCAAATCCACTGTGAGACACCATTGTGTCCCTGAGCAAGACACTTAACCCCTAGTTGCTCCAGAGGTGTGCGACCTCTGACATGCAGGAATTGTAAGCCGCTTTGGATAAAAGCGTCAGATAAATGTTGCTGTGCAGCCACTGTTTTAACTTTTCTACTTAACTGATATATTGTTGCACAACTGGACTAGAGGTAACAAAAACACTGGCTGGACAGCAACAGCAACACAGTCACCACAAAATCTGCACCCTACAAGGTGACACCCCCAGAAAGAAAAGCAAACTATTACACTCTGTTAGACTGCCAAACTCTTACACTGGAACCTATCCCAGCAGCCAGACCTGTACTTTGCTCTTACAGCTACCTGCCTTCGGTGTGTTTTGTGTATCAATAACATTAAGCATATTATCTTCATTCAAAGAGCCACTGGAGCTCAGTGGAGCACAGGGCACAGCCGTATTTATGTTCTGAGGCAGAGGTCTTCAAAACAAGGTCTTTGCACATTTCCAGCGTTTCAGCTCATTCAAGAAGTAACAAACCAGTAGCTACAAGCAAGTCTAACACATAGTCATTTTGGCTCACATGACAAACGAACATAACATTGGAAACACTGTTGCCAACTGCTGTATACCTAACTTACCCCTCCCCAGCCTACAAAACAAGCGATATTTGACCAACAGCTGCTACCGTGATATGGAGAAACCCTTGTCAGTCAAACGTAGCGCCGTAAATTGTTTTAAGGTGAGAGACAGAGTACATTTAGAAGGATAAATAACACACATAAACTGACTTACTGTGGAACAAGTCCTTTCACAGCTCTGGTAATGTGCGCCGCCATGTTGCTTTCGATGACGCGCTAAAACAGTGAGCAGCAATTGGCTACAGAAGTGGTTACCTCTTGGAGCCCGAGGTGTGTGATTGGCCACAGCTAGGAGAGGGCGGGCTCTCGAGGACTCCTAGCACATGGGAAGGTAAACAGCGAACAAGCAGCGGGGTGGTGCTGAGAAGGGAGGAACGGCACAGGACCAGACATTTTTATGCGAGGGAAAATACTGCAACAGTTAAGATAAAATTTGATTTGTTTTACAAGATGACTCAAAAGAAATAGTAGGAATTACTTAAAATACCATCAGTCAACAGAGTAAACAGTAAATCAGTGATATTCTGTGTGGTTGCTTAGTTAACTCCTCACCTCTCTTCAATCTAGATGTCTTTTCCTCACAGATGGTCTCTGTCTACAATAACTCAGGTGTCCTTCTGCTCTGTGAGACAGAAGGGACAGAGACAGGTTGAAGCTTGCGACAGACAGAAACAGGGGAGGGATAGAAAATAAAGAGAGGTTTGAGCACAAGGCACGTCACCCCATGAGTTCTCTCTCACAGCAGTGGTGAATTACTACCACTACCATCAGCCAGGTCCAAGTGTGGTGCACAAATGACACGCAATATTTCCCATGATTAAGTCAGCAGGGGATTTGCTCCAAATGTCAGTGTTCAGATGACAGCCATTGGACTGGGGGTGTATTTAAATGTGAAACTGCTGAACTTTACTTTATGAGGGCTGCAGAGACAAATGTAATTTTTGGTGGCTGGCTTTCTGTAGAAAAAGAGGAAAAGTCCATGATGACCCATTTCATAGTCTTTCTTCATGGTCTTTCTTCAGTAGGAAATTTCCTGCAAAAGAATTCTTATACAGACTATATATATATAACGTTACGTGTGTGTATGTGTGTGTGTGTGTGTGTGTGTATATACAAAAAAAAAACCACAGTTGTGTGTGTGTATATACACACACACAACCGTTTTATTTTCTTTCTGACATTTCTCTACTTCATGCTGTCTATTTTAAATTATTGTTAAGAGGCCTCTCTCTTAAATTATTCAATTTAAACATTCAGAGAAGTAAATATCGGTCTTTGGAACTGCTCGCAACTCATAGACATATTGTCACCTGCAAATAGTAGACACTGCTTCACTTTTAACAGTCACAAGCCAAAACATTTTGAAAATGTTGGAAACCATTGATATGATGTGACTGTTTGCCATTATTTACTATCCAGGTCATTTCATGGAGAAGCATAAAATATCACTTATCCAACAATAAGTGATATTCTCAATAGATGCTTTTCCCTCTCTCCCAAAGGCTGATATCATATGAAAGACATTTCAATACAAATAAAATTAGTTATCCCCCAGCTCAAAACATCTCAGATTCCCTACACATAGATCATTGTTTTTTTTCCCCCAGTAAATCAGAAATACAGTGTGGTTGCTGCTTCTTGCATCCATGATCAGGTATAAAAAAACTTGGAGTATTTTATACAGCTTTTATCCCTAAACAAAGGGGGCTTATGTGCGCATCCATTCCTACATGGGATAAAAATGCAATGGAGTTGGAAAATTCCATCCATGGGTTACTTGGAAACTACCTCTTTTCCTCCCCCTTCCATTCATCGAACACAATTGTTGTCTACTAATCCAGTTTTGATAGCATTTGGCACACTTTCTTTGGATCACAGCAAGATGCTCAACTTCCATTCTGGTCTCCCCTAGGAACCTCTGAGCCCAAGAAAGCAGCCGACACCAGGTCGCGCCAGAGCAGGGGGGTTCTCTGCATCCTCATAAAACACCGAAAATTATTTTTTGATTCAAGTCACCCCTTGCCATGTGCACACACACACACACACACACAAGATCATCAGTCTGGTTGTTAATTCAAGATATGTGCTGAATATGTGTTTATTCTTGTCAATCTGTTATGCTGTTAAATGTTGCAATCACCTAATGACCCCCCTGTAAGGCAATAGAATATAAAATATTATGTCAAAGGCACAAGCTTTTTGCCTTTGTCCCCCCTCTGTACTCCCTGATCCAAATGGACAATGCATCACTAGGCCTTGATGCCTCAGAAGTCTGGGTTCATTAAAATCTTGAATGAGTGCCAAAGCTGTAGTCATAGATAAAAGGAATATGAAAGGATAACAAAATTTATGGATGGCAAGTCACCACCTCACCCTGGCATTTATAATAAACAAATGGTTTCTGTTTCCAATTTAAATTTCTCATTATACTGTGACTTTTGGAAAATGTGTTTTGATTTACCAACATTTTATCTGAAAAACTGTATAATTGATTAGATTTACATGGCTCTGATTTCAATGCTGATCGCCTGCCTTCCCCAACAGCCCCACCCCCAGCCCAACACTCACCAAAAAAGAATGATCTGAACAGCTCCTGAGGCACATTAACATCATATAAAACAAACCTACATATCAAACAGTTTTTTCCTGATAAAATAATTGGCTTTAACCAGCATAGAATCCAATTCATCCCTTTGAAAGAAACTTCTGTGAGGGCACCAAAAAAAATGGTGAGATAGACTTCACAGCCCGGGTGAGATGGACATCAATGCAGTGTGCCAGCAATGGCTATATTAACCCATGGCTAAATCCCATCACACAAATGTCAGTGTATCCTTTATGAAACCATGACATTTAGATCCAAGGTCTCCATTGTGGTTTTAGAGGGAGCTGATGTTTGTCCATTCTTTGCATCCATCAAACCCGCACATCGCCTCACAGCCAACTGTACTCTAAACACAGAAAGGTTAAACATCATAAGGGTTTATGTATCTAATTTTATTGCATAATACATGGTGTGTTTTATATAATTTTGATGACGGTACATTGTTTTCCTTCGTGAATGTTACTACACAAAATATAATAGATTTTTTTGTAACTGACATTTTATATCTTTTTTTTTTTATGTTTGATGTAAAATGTAAAATTTTAAAATGAAATTACAATTAACACTATACTGTACGCTGAGATTTTAACACTTTAGCAATTTTATTTTATAAAATGCATTATGCACTGAATTGCATGCTCAGCACCAATATTTTTGAGACCATCCAAACTCCTAACTTACCCTGTACAACCTCCGCAAACACCCCTATCACCACAACACACCAGGGCAGGCCTAATCTGACACATCATGACCGCTCATGAGTCATGTGTAATGAGGAGCAAAAGCCACATTCAAGAACAGGACAATGTGTCATAAAGCTCTCATGTTAAGAGTGCGACACCTAAAAGACTCTTGGCTGAGAAGCACGAGATGTTTAATTATTGCCTCCTTACATTAGCTTGGATCTCCTCCCCCAGGCATCAGTTTGGGGGTCAGGCTATGGGGTGGTGGGGAAGAGAGTGCGCTGAAACTGGTGGACATGGTGAAGAGGAATAAAACCCCATCATTACCAGATCTCTCACTTTCTCTTTCTCCTACCAACGGCAGTCCAGATCAGGAATTACAAATGATATCATGACAATTTTTCACGCTCTTCAAACCAGTGATGTTTTACCGACTCATTTGCTATGATACCTTGTTACGGATCCAGCTGTGAATCAGGGATGTGTCATGGGGCTAGAAGCCCACCTCCTGCTGAGCCTGGCCAATGACCTGGAAGGCAATAGGGGATGCCAGTGCCTGCAGCATGTGCTGCACTGACAAAGCAGCAGGGCACCGTCAAAAACCCTCTCATACAAACTTTGCAGATCACTCCGTTTTTAACAGATGAGTAAGCACTGGTGCTGACTTTTTTTCTGTGCCCTAACACAGGCTTTATGGATTTCCCTTTGCGAGTCTGTGGCTCTGGTTGACACATAGCAAAACCCTTGCCCACAAGGGGAATAGTGTAGTGGTGGATCTGGGATAGAAGGGTGCAGATAGCAAGTGGCAGGGTCACTGCGCAGGTTAAGCAACAATTCAGTTGAGTGCCTGTAAAGGAAGTGGAGTATGGTTGGAAAAGACCAGCACACCAGCTAAAGAGGCCACACAATCCGGGTTAAACTTTGGCCTTTGAACATAAATTACAAGATCCCCTCTACACTTTCAGTAGTGTATGTTTATGGTGCAAATATTTAAATGTTCCTTATCTCTCCTTGCAATACCATATCACTACATGGGAATATTTTAGAGATTTTTCTCCAAAAGCACATCAATCCCAAACAACGTGGTGTAATCCAATGAGACAAAGAAGCAACTTAATCCATTCATTAATTTTTGCATTCTTCAACAGGAACTCAATGAGGTTAAGGTTGTTTGGGTTTCCAGATGAGAGCCCTCACGCAATCCCAGGCCCTGATAACTTCTGCATTACTAGAATGATGCGGCCGGGACTGATGGAGCTAAGAGTGTCAAGAGGCATTAGCCTTCACAGCCCCAAGCTGGTGGACAAAACCAGACTGCGCCCCCTGACCCAATCCACCGCCTAGTTACTGACGCAGCAATCAAGAGAGAAAGAGAGAGGGAAGCAGCACTACTATAAATGAAGGAAAAAAGTTGGGGAAAACCAAACTGAGAAAATAAGATGAGTACAAATTCACATTAAAAGAAAAGGCAGAGAACAAGAGAGGCAAAGACAAATACTGTGCCTCTGACTTTTCTGCACGTTACCCAAATCACAGGAAATGGGTTTTAAGGGCTTTTTTCTCGTTCGGTTGACTCTGATTCCTCCTCTCTCACTTCATTTAACTGAATTAATGAGCAGGTCCAGCCAGACCTCAGAATATTAACTTCTCAGGCACCCGTTATTTTGTTGAGGGATTGGGTTTTTGTTGCTTAGTGATTACGGGCATAATTTTACAATAAATAAACATGTGTACTGTGGTTGCCTTTACATGGATGTCACTTTCAAAGACTTCAGTGGATAAAATATAAGCTGTAAGAACGTTTAGGATGAAGATGGAAATTTCAACACTGCTGCTTTTCTTTTTTAATATCTATGACTTCTATTGTGGCCAGTGATTTGCTAGATGGGAACTTATGAATGAATGTTCCCATAGTACTCCTCTAAGCACACTGACGTGGAACAAA